AAGAGCGTAAGGCACGTTGGGGTGAGTCCTCAGGAGTCCTCCTGAGCAGATCCAGGGTGTGAGAGCTACGAAAATGCTTCTCTCAGGCCCAGAGGTTCCTGCAGCAGAGGGCTGGGAGCTCGGTCCCTTCAGGATCTCAGATGTGCTGGAGCTCTGGTGGTCAGCTCTTCAGCAAACCCTCCCAGCAACTCCAGGATGGAAGGAGGCACCCTCCAAGCAGAGAGCAAGGAGAAGACCCTGAGAGGCTCTCAGACAAGCTGAGCATTGATCAGAGAGGCACTTGGACACTCTCCAATCCCAGCCCTGGTGCCCCCTGGATCAACAGCAGGGCTTCCAGGAGGAGAGCAGCAGCCACTTTGCAGCCCTGGCCTGGCTGAGGTTGAGGTGCAGCAGACTGTGGAGTCTGCCCAGGTAGGCAGCCAGGTGTTCAAGGCACAAGGATGAAGGGAAAGAAACAAGCTGGTTGGAGGAAGACGAGGAGGATGGAGACAGGGACGAAGGAAGCTCCAGTGTTGGTTGAGCCCCTTGTGACACAAGGGTGCATCCTCACAGCAGCAGCAGCAAGCTATGGACATTCCCTGCTCAGTCAACCCATCATAGTAACCAGAAGGTCAGCTCCAGGTCTGAGTGCAGGGCCACTCATGGGCCTGAGGGGCTTCACCCGAGGGGTGACTATGAACATCCACCACCACCATCAAAAAATGGCTCCAGAAGGAGAAGTTTCACTTCTGCTGGCCCAGGAAGGAGAAGGCATATGGTCAGAAACACCTCAGCAGAGCCCCGTGGGCACCTCCTGTCCCTGTCCCTGCCCTAGGTGGCATTACTGTACAAGGACAGGACACATCACCTATTTTCAAACCCTTGGAGAAGGACAGACCCAGCTGATCCCTTCCTTTGGTACCAGTGTAACTCTAGGTAGCAGCAGAGCAGGGTTTGCTGTTAGCAGCAGTAGATGCCCACTCCATCTCAGCTTTAGCCCAGAAGGGAGCTCTGGACCAGCCTGGTTTCCTCCACTCCCCTTCCTCCCCAGGAGCTCACTGACACCATCCAGCCAGAGCCACCCTTGGTGGCTGACTCTGCTTTACCCACCACAAAAGCAAGGCAAATTCAGCTCTGAGAAAAATTAGCTGAGGAAGGGTGGACCAGATGACCTCCTGAAGGCTTCCCAATGATTTCCTGTGCTCAAAACTTCCCTCCCCCTTGGTATTTCATTTGTCAATAAGGCCACAAAGTTCAAACCCATCCACAAAACAGGGGACACAGCAAAGCACCAATGGATAGATCTGTTTTCAGAGATCTTCTCTGGCCCACCTTCCTGACCCTGCTTCCTTCAGGCTAACCCTGACCCAACTAGGAGGCTCTGCAGATGTGAAAGCCAAAGGCAAAGCCTTGCTGGGGCGTGATGGGTGTGCAGAGATGCACACACACAGAAGTCAGTCCAAGCAGGAGTGCATGACCCTGTCACACAAGCAGCCAAAATGATGCACCCACCACCCAAAGCACCTCCCCTCCTGGGGCCAGCACCCTGAACACTGATGGTCTCAGGGGTGCTCAACTTCTGCTGCTGAGGGAGGCTCAAAACCATCTCCAGCCTGACCCAGGCCCAGCTCCTCAAAGACTGAGTGAGGTGCAAATGGAGGTGAGGAGCCTTTGAAGACCTGCCTTTTAGGCTACCCAAAAGCCAAGAGCACTGCCACAACCCTAGGTGGAATTCAGGCTACTGAGAAGGACCCCACCTCCTGTTAGCAGACCCTGGGACAGCCTGATGCCTTGGGTGTGAGGAGCAGCTCCACTGGAGATGGTGCACTCACACCCAAAGATGGAGCTGCCCTAACATCTCCACCTGTGCTGCACCCACACCACTCACAAGGGCTCAGGTTCAGACCCAGTTCATCCTACAGGACCTCAGGTCAGGATTAAGTCTCCAAACATGGAATCACAGCATTGTCTAGGTTGGAAAAGACCTTTAAGATGATCGAGTCCAACCACTAACCCAGCACTGCCAGGTCACCACTAACCCATGTCCCTCAGCACCACATCTACGTGCCTTTTAAATCCCTCCAGGGATGGTGACTCCACCAAGTTCCAGGGCTTGACAGCCCCTTCTGTGAAGGAAATCTCCCTAACATCCAACCTAAACCTCCCCTGACACAACTTGAGACCATTTCCCCTTGTCCTATCTCTTGCTGCTTGGGAGACAAGACTGACCCCACCTCGTTCCAACCTCCTGTCAGGGAGTTGTAGAGAGGAAGGAGGTCTCCCCTCAGCCTCTTTTTCTCCAGATAAACAACCCTAGTTCCCTCAGCCACTTCTCATAAGACTTTTTCTCCAAACCCTTCCCCAGCTTCGTTGCCCTTCTTTGGACATGCTCCAGCACCTCGATGTAGTGACGGGCCCAGAACTGAACACAGGCTTTGCCAAAGCCACCTGAGCAACGTGGTGTGGAGATACCTGACAAGGGGACCTTGCAGCTGAACCCTAGACATGGAGACTCCTCCTTCCTACTGCCTTTGATAGTAGCAGGTCTCCCTCAGCTAGCAGAGAAGGCAAAACCCAGAGAGGTCATCACATCCACAGTGCCTCGTGAGCCCTGGCAGACCCTTCTACAGCCTCACAGCCTTCAGGTTGCCCTCCCTGCCATTCATTCAGCAAGGGATCACCCACACGTTCTCCAGAACGAAGAAGAAACCTCTGCCTGTTCCAGCATCCTTGGTTAAGTGACTTGTTCTGGCTTAGAACACCCCACGTCCCCTCGGGTGGTGGTGCCTGCTGTGAAAGCGCCTCCAGCACGAAGCCTCCAGCCCGGGTCCTGGTTAGTCACGGCGTGTTAGGCAGATGACAGTTATGTCTCTTAGTTGGTTATGCCCCTTCCCTCCATCTCCACGGCTGCCCCACCCACCACCCCTGTGGCCCTCAGGAGTCCTTGGTAGCCAGGCTGGCCTTGATCCTGCGCCGCAGGGCGTAGGCGGTGAGGGCGCTACAAGCCACCAGGCCGAAGAAGGAGAGGCAGGAGAGGTACAGGGAGAAGGGCCCGTGTCTCTGCAGGAAGATCTCCCTCCTGCCCTTGTAATCCAGCAGCACGGCCTCCAGCTGCGAGAGGGTGCAGACGGCCAGGAAGGCGTGGAAGATCTGGTGAGCGTGGCCCACGATGTCACAGGAACCGGGGAAATACTTCTCGGGCACCGGGCAGGAGAAGAAACAAGCGCTGATAAGAAAGAACAAGATCTGATAGGTGTGGTACCAAGCGGCGTCTTCCTCGCAGCCCCCCAGGTGGCAGAGGACCACGCGGTGGGCGACGGGGCTGATGTCCAAGACGAAGGCCAACCCTGCTGGCACCACCTGGCACATCTTCCTCATGAGGGGGTAGGGGCGGCGGTAGC